TACAACGCGGAGCAATCTGTGGAGCTGGAAGCTGAGAACTGGCGACTTTGTAGTAGAACTTTAGTACGCGGAGTAGCTGTGGAGCTGGAGGCTGAGAACTGGCGAGTTTCTAGTGCAACTTTAGCAGCGGAGCAAGCTGTGGAGCTGGAAGCTGAGAACTGGCGACTTTGTAGTACAACTTTAGTACGCGGAGTAGCTGGGGGGCTGGAAGATGAGAACTGGCGACTTGGTAGTAGACAACTTTAGTACGCGGAGTAGCTGGGGAGTGGGAAGATGAGAACTGGCGACTTGGTAGTACAACTTGAGTACGCGGAGTATCTGGGGAGCTGGAAGATGAGCACTGGCGACTTTGTAGTACAACTGTAGTCCGCGGAGTAGCTGGGGAGCTGGAAAATGAGAACTGGCGACTTGGTAGTACAACTTTAGTACGCGGAGTATCTGGGGAGTGGCCAGATGAGAACTGGTGACTTGGTAGTAGAATGACTTGGTAGTACAACTTTAACGCGGAGTATCTGGGGAGTGGCCAGATGAGAACTGGTGACTTGGTAGTACAATGACTTGGTAGCACAACTTTAGTACGCGGAGTATCCGAGGAGCTGGAAGATGAGAACGGACGACTGGGTAGTACAAGTTGAGTGCGCGGAGTATCTGGGGAGTTGGAAGATGAGATCTGGCGACCTGGTAGTACAACTTTAGTACGCGGAGCAATCTGTGGAGCTGGAAGATGAGAACTGGCGACTTTGTAGTACAACTGCTGCAACAGCCGCAACTGGGTTAGGAACAACAGCCGCAACTTCACAGATGCCTACACCATCCAGATCTGCTTCGGGCGGACGCGCTAGACCCAACCAACTGCGTGTCTCATACCGTGACTTCTTCCTGATAAATTCTGTGTGGACGTCGTTCTGCGGAAGCACAACACTATCTTTTCTGTGTACAAAGACTAGTCGCGAGCAGAACAGCGAGAGTACGCTAAAACATCTACAGTGCCTGCTGTGTGTCACCTCACGCTACTTTGTCGCGTTTTTCTTTGAGACAGTCAATTAATCAATGACAAGCATACTGGTTGGTTAACTACATCCTAGGAAAGCTGTGTCCTGGAGTGAAGTAGAACGTTTTTGCCCGGAAGATATATATCGATGGACGCATCTCCTCTGACAGGTCACTGCTTCGAGACGCTTCTGGCGTGGCTGCCTCAGCATTTTCTGTGTTCATTCCAGCTCGGTTTTTTCAGTGAGATTCCCTGCAGCCGTGCACGCTGCTTCTCCCCTTACCAGCAGCTCACATGCTCATGACGATGAGCTGGGCTGTCACCGCTTGGCCGCCGGTGGGGGTTTGGGAGGCCTACGCGCTACTTCGTTCATCTCCTCTGACAGGTCACTGCTTCGAGACACTTCTGGCGTGGCTGCCTCAGCATTTTCTGTGTTCATTCCAGCTGGGTTTTTTCAGTGAGATTCCCTACAGCCGTGCACGCTGCTTCTCCCCTTACCAGCAGCTCACATGCTCATGACGATGAGCTGGGCTGTCACCGCTTGGCCGCCGGTGGG